AACCTACAAAGTTATTGTCAAGAGCAAAAGATAAACAACTAGATACCTATTTATAAGCTAGTACTAGTGCTGCTGCAAAGACTTCACCTTCTCGAGAGCGCGTGCTAAACATGTCCCGGAGACTGCGGAGCCAAGATGCCACATCTGAACTCAAAACAAGCGCATGAACATAAGTCTAAGCTGTGTCTCATAAGCAGTATTAAACGATAAAGCTTAGCTGCAACGTTAAGGAAAACCTTCAATACTTATGAAATGTGTCATTATCGTATGCCGGGCGGTGGGGTAAGGCAATTGCTGTGCGGTCTGCAACATAAGCTTATAGACTATACATTTTCTAACTATTGTGTGAAAATGACTGATTTTAAGGTATCTGATGATTATTCTGATTTAGTACGGGACGTGAAACAAGTTCTGTTATTAGTAAAACATAATAATATTGTTTTGTACCTACTAACCTATAAATTATCTTACACTGTTACACTGCAAACATTTATAATGCCAGAATTGAAGCCTTTAATAACTTCCTTATTAATGATAATCAGATTCACCGATATATTTACGTTTTGGATTCAAATACGAATCTTCAATGCTCCCTCCGATTATTTTTCCGGTTTAATGGCAATTTAATTGTTTAGGGTTTCAAAATTGTTCATGATTTGTGCAAATAAGTATCAAAGATTACTAAGGAATTAGTACATGTAATACTTTGGTTGAAGACTATGCAACTGTTCTGTCGGTAAATGGTAGTTTCTTTCGTTCCTAAACATTTCACTATAATGTGCTTAAATATACAATGTCTTAGAAAAAAAAAATGATGAATTGAATATCTTATTATCTGAATTCGATATTGATGTAATCGATGTGTGAATATTGGTTGCGGCCCAGTAATTATCGGTTTTACTCTTTGGAGGGCTACGATCTGGCAGCTAAGTAAGTATTTCAATCTCAAACTAGAGTTCTTTTAGACAAATATACAAATACCAAGAAAAGGTTTCATTTAAAAAAAAAATAGTTAAAATATAATAATAGGTCACTAAGGGTATAAAAAAATGCTGCTGTCACAAGAGAATATTGCGTTACCTTATAACTAAATTAAAAAATGATAATTTATCGATACGAAAAACTAACACAGAACAATAAAATAATTAAAAGCCCAAAGACCATAGCAAACCTATTTAATAAGTATTACTGTAGTATCGGCAAAAACGAAAATATTGATAAGCCTAAAGTACAGAATTTGAATACACTTGTGAACTCGCTTTATCTGGATGTTGTCACTGAAGCAGAGTAAGGAAGGCTATTTTAGGCCTAAAAATGAACAATATATGCGGATACGATGACATACCGGCCACGGTACTAATGCATTGTCTTCGCTAGTTCTTCATTTTACACACTGCCAAAAACTTGGCTATCATTACTGTTTCTATTAAGCAGCATTATTATGTAGATCACACTCTGGAATTTATTCAAAATAATAACATTAATTGTAATTTAAATGAGTTACTAAGACAACAGAGGAGCTTCCTAGCTATGTCATGATTAAGGAAAAATCTAAATATCTTAATATTGTTTACCAAAATATACAAGGCTTTTCTGGTAAAGACTAAGAACTATGTTTATTTTTGAATACAATGAAAATAAGCATATTATGTATTACAGAGCACTGGCTCAAAGATTATGAATAAGTTACTTACTAGCTTATGGCTTAGATAATTATACAGTTGTTAGTAGTTTTTGAAGGAAATCGGCTATCAGGGGTGGCTCTCTCATAATCTTACAGAATGATCTTAAATACAAAGAACGTACAGATATTGATACACTTTCAGTTGACCGTAATATTTAACAATAACTTGAAAAAATAATCATCATGTGTATATCGACCCCCATCTGGAAATTATACTCAATTTGAGTCTGGGTATGGAGTACTTTATTCCATACTCCGATGTATCTCTATTCGGCAAAGCTCGCCCCTGGTTTGGACCTCAATGTGCTCGCGCTGAAATGCTGAAGCATGAGGCATACCTAGCCTGGGCTGATGCTCGACAATGCAAAGCTAGGGATACAAGCCAGAAGAAGAAAGCATTTAACAAGGCTGCCAAGTCATGCAAGAAGGCTCTACAGCGGGCTCGCTTCGATCACATAAGCCGTGTAGGGCACAAGCTCGCTTCGTATCCCGCGGGAAGTAAAGCGTTCTGGTCCCTGGCAAAGTCGATCGAAGGGAACTTTTGTCGCCCCTCACTGCCTCCACTGCTGAAGCCTGACGGACCGCTAGCCCATACCGCTGACGAGAAAGCGAATTTATTTGCTTCTCTTTTCGCGGAGTATTCGCGCCTCGATGCTGGTAGCGCGTCGCCTCTTTCTCTTGACTCAAATGTCAGAGTTCAAAATTCGCCAATCTGAGGTACGAATAACGCTACGCAATCTGGACGTGCATAAAGCTAGTGGTCCTGATGGTATTCCAGCCATTGTCCTGAGATCTTGTGCGCCTGAGTTGACTCCTGTCTTGACGCGCCTCTTTCAGCTCTCCCTTGCAACTGGTAAAGTGCCGAGTTCTTGGAAGCTTGCTAACGTACAGCCTGTACCCAAGAAGGGTAGTAGTGCTGACCCTGCTAACTACCGGCCTATTTCAATTACGTCCATACTCTGTAAGAGTATGGAACGTATTTTGAACCACAGGCTCCTGGCGTACCTAGAATCTAACGACCTCCTAAACGACCGACAATATGGCTTCCGCCGGAATCGGTCCACGGGTGACCTTCTAGCGTGCGCCACGCACATATGGAGTGAAGCCATCGAGAAGTACAGGGAAGCTCTAACAGTTTCTCTCGATATTTCCAAAGCCTTCGACAGGGTCTGGCACGACGGTCTTATTAGCAAGTTATCCTCATACGGCCTGCCTACTGGGCTTTGTGCATGGATTTCAGACTTTCTGAGAGATAGGTCTATTCGAGTTGTAGTTGATGGTTGCTCCTCGGATCTTTGGGCTATGAATGCCGGTGTCCCCCAGGGGTCGGTACTCTCTGCAACGCTGTTTCTGCTGCACATTAACGATCTGCTAAGACCCGGTATCTTTGGGTATGCAGACGACAGCACAGTTGTAGAGAGCTATACATCCACCGCGCGAGCCAGTGCGACAAAAATCCAGTCCCATAGGGAGGCCATGGTCGAGCGCTTGAACCTTTCCCTTTTGGCGGTCTCCGATTGGGGCGATGCCAATTTAGTTGGGTTCACTGCTGCGAAAACCCAGGCGTGTCTTTTGACCGCAAAAAAGAGGCCATTTGATCTGGCCCCTACTTTCCGGGATGTAACCGTACCGATCACCGACCATCTCCAGCTACTCGGTATTTCATTGTCACCAACCCTCAACTTTGGCTCATACATTGAGACCAAGGCCCAATTATCAGCCAAGAAGTTGGGAATCCTCTCGAAGGTGCGACGATACTTCAGGCCGGAACAGTTGCTTACATTATATCAAGCACAAGTTCGGTCGTGCATGGAGTATTGTTCGCACCTCTGGGATGGATCGGATAAGTACCAACTTGAGGCGTTGGAGGCAATTGAGAAACGAGCGATAAAGCTCATTGGAAATGAAGTGCATTGCCGGGCAAAGTTACAAAGCCTGGAACACCGACGCAAAGTTGCCAGTCTTTAGGTGTTCTATCGGTTGCATTTCGGTAAGTGCGCAAAGGAAGGACATGAGCTAATTCCTCCCAGCCCTTTCTACTACCGGACGAACAGGGAAACGGCAAGGCGACATGGATTCACGGTGGCAGTTCCAAAGACTCGCACTAAGCGATTCGCTTCTAGCTTCATCGTGCGGACTGCCAAACTGTGGAATTCCTTGCCTGAGCCTTTGTTCCCCGAGCACTACAATCTAGCGGTCTTCAAAGCAAGAGTGAACTGGTTTTTATTAGGTAAGCGCGCTCCATCGTAGACCATAATATTGCTTTCCATCAGGCGAATTATGGTCAAGCGCTTACCTATTACCGAATAAAAAAAAAAACTTTAAAAAGCTGTGAGCCATAGCATAAGCTAAGTTTTTATCTAAAAAAATAGTCTTTCAGATAATAAAATAAAGACAACTTGGAATATAATCAATAATGAAACTGGAAGATATAAATTTAAAGAACACACATATTCTTTAAAATAGACAACAAGATTGTTCGGACAGATGATGCCGTTGCAAATAATTTTGAAAATTTATTTTCTAGTGCACCATTTGAAACAACTAGAAATCTTAATTCTTGTTCTAGGTTAGCAATGACCCTCCTTGAGTCAAGTGTTGATAAGTGCAGTAATGATTTTCATTTTAGACATATCAGTAGTGATTGTGTTATAAAATGTTTGAATTCAATTAATATTAAAAAGACAGGATTATTGGGGAATATCAACATATATAATAAAACCGATTAACACTGTCATTGCGGCTGGCCACAACTGGCCATTATATTTAACAAATGTATTGATGAGGGATTGTTTCCAGATCTTATCCAGATTATCCCTGTTTAAGGCTGGTGACAAATGAGATTCCAGCAATTTTAGGCCCATATCTATATTACCAGCGCTAAGTAAAGTATTTGAGAAAATAATTTACAACCAATTACTAGCACACTTTTCTATAAATAAGCTATTTCATTTAAAACAGTTTGGTTTCATTAGAGGCAAAAGTACTACTGATGCTGGAACTGCACTTCTCATACACATTGTTGATGTATGGAAGAGTAAGCACGATGCTATTGTCATTTTTTGCGACTTATCAAAGGCGTTTGACTGCGTTAGCCATGAAACATTGTTAAATAAAATTATGGTGTATCACATATTTCAATAAGTCTGATACAGTCTTATCTTTCTGCTAGGATTCAGAAAGTAGTTGTACATGAAGCTGAGTCTACAGGAGCACCCATTTCTATGGGTTTGCCCCAGGGTTCAATATTGGGCCCATTGCTTTTTCTCATTTATATCAATGACCTTCCTCACTTTACAAGAGATTTGTGACAGACATGCTATTTGCTGATGACACCTCTTTAGTATTTAAACCTGGAAGAGGAAATGATTGTTATGACGAAGTAAATTGTGCTTTCTCTGAAGTTCTTCATGGGTTTACGGTAAATAATTTAAAACTTAACTCCAATAAAACAAAATGTATTAAATTTACTCTACCTAAAGTGAGGCAGGTTAATACTAGTATAAAAATAAATGATCGACCGTACAGTTAGTGGATTTTTACAAAGTTTCTGGGTATTACTTAAGACTCTCGTCTACACTAGAATCCTCATATTAAGCCTAATCAAATAGAATGAATTCTGCAGCTTTCGCAGTTAAAAAATAGACTCTTAACTGATGTGGAAACGGCAAGATTGGTTTACTTTGGTTACTTTCATAGTGTTATGTCATATGGCCTTTTGTTGTGGGGATCAGCTGCTAATATCGAAAGTAGTTTCATACTGCAAAAAAGAGCTGTTCGCGCCATATAAAATTTTAAGGCAAGAGAATCTCGTGGAGAAAAATTAAATAAATTAATATAAAATAATACACTGGCATATCAATATATTTATGAAAATTTTATATATGTTAGAAAAAACTAAGGTGCATTTGCAAAAAAAAGTTAAACCCATAACTTTAACACGAGGTTAAAGAATATGCTAGCCATTCCATGTTTCAGACTCCAATAAATCATTAGGTTCATTTCTGGGTTGTTGTATTGCATTGTTTAATCATCATCAGCCCATTAATGTCCCCACTGCTGGGGCACAGGCCTTCTCTATGGATGGAATAGGGAGATTGGGCCATGACCCACCGCGCGGGCCCAGTGCGGATTGGTGGGTGCTAACGACTGCAGATGCAGCCGGGACCAACGGCTTAACGTGCCTTCCGAAGCACGGAGGAGCTCGAGATAGTAAATTTTTGGTCACCCATCCAATGACCGACCACTGCGAAAGTTGCTTAACTTCAACGGTCGCAGCCGAACGCGCTAACCACTTGCGCCATCAAGCTCCTCAATTGTTTAATAAAGTTCCCCAAGTTCTGATTGAGCTGTAGAAGCTCATTATTCTTGATCTGAGATTTAAAAGTGGTCAGTGAATGATCAAATTTAAATCTCAGATCAAGTATATATATATAAGTATGTATATATATATTTATAATAAATAGAAAGTTATCTTTAAAATTTATTGTAACTCGGTATATATTTATATTCTAAATGATGTGTGTAATAGAAGGTGACTTCAGAAGTATCTCTGAAGTCATTTTTCAACTTGACTACTCTGTATATAACAATACAGGGTGAAAAAAAACAGCCCTTGCTGAGTTTCTTGCCGGTTCTTCTCAGTACAAGGTCTCCCGCAGTAGTTTTGCGAACCGATGGCGTAGTTTCCTGACCTTCACAAGTGCTTGTAACAGCCTAGACTGAATAAATGATTTTTGATTTTGATGAGTTTGTATTCCCTTTGACTTATTTAGTAAATCAATCCTAAGAACAAGGAATTTTAGGCTCTAAGACCGCTGGCACATTGGCTGCGACAAGAACTATGTGAAAGACGTCAGTGATTCAGGCGTGGCAAGATACCCGACCAGTGCTCAATTGGCATGAGAGATCATGGTGTCCCAACTCACGGGCGCGAATTCCGCAACGATTGCGTTAGGGATGATTGGTCTTGACGCCAAGTCTATGTGCTCCTGACAAGCAAAGTCCCGACAGTAACCAGACTGCCTGAGAGCACGAGCACGCTCAGCTGCGTTTTCAGAGGAAGCTAAAAGATCACTCTGAAGACGCAAATAGAGTGGCTCGTCCCATTGCCTCTGCGAAAATAAGGAAGATGGTGGATCTACTACCGGGCATGCCCTACACCAAGAATTCCTGGCTTCTGCAAGGTGAGCCAGCTACGCTATGCCTTAAGAAAGACAGTATTTTATTAATGAGCTCGGCTGTATCAAGTCCATAATACAGAAAAGCGGGAAGTACAATGTGTGAAATATGGCGAGTACATTGCCCATCGAAACGAAGTGCTACTTTTTATTTATCCTTAGTGATAATAATATCTTAATTTATGTCACAAACGGATATCCTACTTCTTATACAGCATTTAAACAATTTGTATAGTATTCTAGTGCTAGGTATAAAGCACTGCTTCTATATTCTAAATTTGTTGATTAAAAAAAAATATTATCAATTAACAAAATGTAGAACTAATATGAATTGACGAAACCCAACATAAACTTATTAAATTGCATGCAAATATACTGCAGAAACTTTTTCACAGAACCGCTTAGAAGCGTATACCATTAGCATAACAAATATGTCCAGAGGATTGCAATATTGCTATTAATGGGCGTCCTCTACTACTTTCATGTAAAATGAAACTCATTATGTGTATGCATGCAAAATGTTAATTAGGATTCAATGAATGAACAATACATTAAAACAACACGAAACCAGTTTCAGCAATTATGTGAAACACTATTGAGTGCATTAATTACTTCAATCAATTTTATACAACTTACTGAAATAACAAGGCCATAACCGCGAAAATACTAGAGACAGAATTTATATACCAGAACTATTTATTTACCAGAACACCACGGATGGTGATAAAGTCCGGCTCATCTCATCTCATCTTATGAGAGCCTTATGCAGTGCGGCGTAAGGGAGATAGTGCAACGACATCTGCACTTGTTTACAAGTTATGCACGTTACCTGCCTAGCTTTTTGTCCGTGCGGTGACAGAGAAAGATACAACTCACCGCCCCTTCTCTTCCCGTGGGTGTCGTAAGAGGCGACTAAGGGATATCGGAGCTTTCATCCGCTCTGCTGGTGGTAGGGTGCCTAACACCCGCCTGGTTTGTTACCACCGTGCGCATGGTGAAAAACCCGTGAAGTGCTTCTCGCGCATTTCGGGGTCAGCCAGCGTACAACCAGGGCTCGAGTGGAGGTTGTCGCGACGGATTCGGTCCAGGGCTAGGCATCCTTGGAACCGATGCCGGGAGGACTGCATCGACCCGCCGGGCAGGGAGACCCGTAGAAACGGCTGTCCCACTGGCCGGACGTGGCACAGTACAGGGGCCCGAGCGTTCCTAACCAGTTCGCGAGGCTGCCCCATCATGTCACGCATAATCTCGGGGTGGACCGTCGTGCCGGTTGGTGACCGGGGCGTGGGGTCCCGGCAGCCACTCCCAGGGGGGTGCGGGGGCCCTTCCGTCCGGCGGGTCGGCGTATATCCTCTGCAGGCAATCATTCGAGGAAACATGCCTCCCTAATTTGCCCAGTCTTGTCGCGACAACGTCCACTCGTTTCACGTCTCGTCACGTCTTTTTCACGCTCCTAAAACAAAGTTTGGACGTACAGCGGTGCACACCCCCACGCCTTCAACGCTGTTTGAGGTCGAGTTCTGCAACATACGCGGACTCCACTCTAACCTCAACGCTGTCCACCACCATCATTGAGACAGCACGGCCAGCATTGTTGTTCCTGACGGAGACACAAATACTTCCGCCTGCTGACACAGACTACCTTAATTATCCCGGCTACGTGCTTGAAGAGTCCTGCAAAGCGAAAGCCGGTGTATGCCTGTATGTTCGGGCGGATGTTTGTTGTCACCGTCTCCGCTGCTTGGAAGATCCCTCCTTCTCCATGCTGGGGGTACACGTCGACTCTGGCCCCCTGGCCAGAGTTTACGTGTGCCTCTCAGATCCCACACCGGCGATGTTGAGACAACTCGACTTTTTGAGCACCTTAGTCGGGCAGCAGATGACGCGCAGGAACAATTTCCCAATGCAGAATTGGTGTTTTTGGTGGACTTTAATGCTCACCACAATTTGTGGTTAAGTTCTTCCAAAACTGACCATGCAGGGATCTCTGCTCACGCATTCGCTCTCACGCATGACTTAAGCAACTGGTTGATCAGCCCACCAGGATCCCAGATATTCCAAGTCAAGCGCCTTCTTTACTGGACCTTCTGCTCACGACCCATCCACAGGGCTATCAGGTTGTGGTAAGAGCCCCCCTGAGCTCGTCAGACCACTGCCTGATATCTGCCTAAGCACCACAGGCCAAGCCTCCGCGTCCAGCAGTGGTCAAGCGCCGTATCTGGCATTATGGGTCGGCAGATTGGGACGGTATGCGTGACTACTTTGCGTCCGTCCCTTGGAAGCAGCGCTGCTTCAGTGACAGGGACCTATCGGCCAGTGCCGTTGCCATTACTGAGGAGATCATAATGGGTATGGAATACTATATTCCTCATTCGGATCTCATCAGTAAGGGCACACGTAACCTCTGGTTCAATCGTGACTGTGCTGAAGCTGCTTCGCGTTAGCAAGCGGCATATCGTGCTTGGATCAGATTCCGCGCTCTCAAGGATCCCGAGGTCGATTCACTCAAAGCAGCCTACAATTTTGCTTCCAAGACCTGTAAGAAGGCTTACATCAGAGCGGATACCCAGCGCGTTGCACGTGTTGGCCAGGAACTTATGACGCTTCCTACGAGCTCCCGTAGCTACTGGCGTCTGGCCAAGGCCGTGCAAAAAAACTTCTGCGAACCCTCGCTGCCACCTCTGAGATGCCCAGACGTAACACTAGCCCATAAGCCGCAGGAGAAAGCCGATTTACTGGCAAAACACTTTGCGGCTAACTCCCGAATCGATGATTGCAATGCACTGCCACCTTCATTACCTCACTGTGGCACAACGATGCCTGATATTAAAATCAGGCAGCGCGAGGTTCTCATATCAGTGGCTGGCGGTAACCAAGGAGAAACGGGAGAATCTTGTCATTGAACTCAGGCTTTTGACCACATTTCCGAATGGGGTACCAGGAACTTGGTTGAGTTCAATGCCAAGAAAACTCAGGCTTGCGCTTTCACGGCTAAAACATCGCCATTCCTTCCCCTTCCCTCTCTTCCGGGCACAACACTACCGCTACAGAGCAACATTTCCATGCTCGGTATGGAAGTTCGCTCAGACCTGAATCCAAAGAACTACATCGAAACCGTGATCAAAACAGCTTCACGCAAACTCGGAGTCCTGAACAAGGTGCGGCGTTTTTTCACGCCCGATCAACTCTGCTTGTTGTACAAAACGCAAGTGTGGTCCTGCGTGGAATATTGCTCGCACCTCTGGGATGGCTCCGCCAAGTACTTGCTCGATGCTTTGGATAGGTTACAGCGGCGCGCGATCCGCATCATAGGCGATGAGGAGGTGACTAAACACCTTGAGCCTCTTCAATTACGCCGTGACGTGGCGTCACTAAGCGCGTTCTATCGTCTGTACCACGGCGAGTGTTCTGAGGAGTTATTCTCTCTTATCCCACCTTCTCCTTTCCTTCAGAGGACCACGCGCGCTTGCCTATGTTGTCACCGTCTAACTGTGGCTACAATTCCAACGCGTACAAAGAAATTTTGTGACTCATTTCTTTGTCGCACTATCCATAAATGGAATGCTCTGCCCGCTCACGTGTTCCCTCCCTCTTACAACCTGGGATCCTTTAAAAGAGGCGTGAAGAAGCAACATGCAGGCCGGCAGGGTGAGGATGGCTGGTGTGGCAGGTAAAACTGCTGTATCAGCTATCTTCACGTCTGGATTTCACCTTCACTTAACATCAGGTGGGGTGGAGTCATTTGTCGGGCTTATCTATAAAAAAAAAGGTACTTTGTACTCGCGGGTGCTAGCTAATTCTCAATTTAACAGGTACTTTCTAGAATGCGTCGATTGGCGTATATAAGCGCGAGCGGCACCGCGCAGTGACAGTTGAATTTCAACAACAATTTGGGAATGAATACAAAAGCGATCAAAGTGCAAGTAAAGTATTCAAGTGCGATTATTTAATGACGGGGATAGTGAAGTAGTAAGTGTTTAGTGAGTGTATTGTGATTAACATTGTGTGCTGAATAAAAAATTGTCAAGCGTGAACCGGCATATAATATCGAACCCCATCACGACACGTAACACTGCTACAATCCAGGTCATAAACTATAGAGGCGTACCAAATTTCATCCAAATCCATTCAGTGGTTTTTACGAGATTGAGGAACAAACATACAAACACTTTTTTATTAAGTAGGATTTCGTGAAATAAACTATATTTTTTTCCATTTTTGTGTTATGGAAGCGGTAAAAAGCTCGAAACAATAAATTTTTGGTCACCTATCTTGTTACTTTCATTCCGAAAGTTGCTTAACAACTACGTTCACAGACCAAACGTGCTCACCACTATGGCATCGAGTTCCTTACAACGCCATCGACTTCCTGAATTGCTGGATTGAAAATACTGGTATAAAAGCAACTATTTTTATGCTCCCTGTTCAAATAGGAACCCTTATAATTTCGCTATATTACGTCAACCCGTCCGTCCGTCCTGTGAGCTGTAATTAATAAGGAATTAGATATTAATTTTAGTCACGCCAAGAAAGTGGTAGTATGCATGTATTATGATTAATTACGTCATAGCACGGTAATATTATTACCGTGGTCATAGTCTCGCCTTAACCATCGCTTCGATACTTAAGATCAACCTTTTGTTGTTACTAAAACATTTATAAAGACGTCCTAAAAACTAAATTACCTTCCTTTAATATTCAACGTTAAAATTTAGTCTAGGAAGTTAGTTGTTTGACGCGCGACTCTCTTCTGCGGCACATTTTAGGCTGACGACCTCCGTGGCCGAGTGGTTTGTACGCCGGGTTTCATGGTGTCGCCGACTCGAGAGGTCGGGTTCAAATCCCGGTGGGGACAGATGTTTGTGTGATGAATACGAGCATTTGTACTCCAGTCATGGATGTTTAATATGTATTTTCTATATAAATATACTTATATATGTACAGTTTATGTATTCTATGCGTTACCCTAGTATCCCATAACACAAGCCTTATAGTGCTTACTTTGGGGCTAGGCTAATTGGTGTGAGTGTTGGAAATATTTATTTATTTATTTATTTTCGAGAACCTTCTTCCTTCCGTTACAGGTCGTGGCACGTAACTCCAGCGCTGATCAAACGCTTATATATTAGCTGCTCATGGGGACGACTGGAGAGCCAAGAGATCTTAATTTTTACTTCTGCGCAGTAACTTTCACGCTAAAGTTTCGTGCCGTGATTTATACCTATAATATGATTATATTACCGGGCCTGTAATAACAATCTGTGCGACGCATAATTAACTTTGATGCCGTAACCACTAAATGTAGGCTTATGACTTAATTGACATTCCTGATAATAACCATATTAGACGTGTTTTGATCATTATTTAGGTGCCTCTATACTTACACTAATTTTGTAAGAAAGCGATCTTTTGGTTTTCGTTTGTGGAAAATCAACAGATGTTGAACCCAAATTAAGCAGAGTTTGTGCAAATTAGAAAACGTACAATCGGGAAAAAATACCTGAAACTTATCACAAATGAATACCGCAACCGAGATTTTTTTATGGAAAAGGTGGCAAACAAGCGTATGGCTCGCCTGATGGTAAGCGGCCACCATAGCCTGTAGCCGCTTGCGATACCAAAAATATCACTCACACCGTTGCATACCCTGACCCAATCCCCTAGCCCGTGGAGCCCTGAAACCTTACTAACCAACAGAAACACAAAACCACCAAAATTCTGTCTTCTGTAAGGAAGAAGCTACTGCCACAGAAGAGCGCTCCAATTCGAGCAGGAAATCCACTATGATCTACCTCTCTTACCTACGTATACGTACGAGATTTGTATTCAGGACTTTAAGAGCAGAAGACAAAACGTGAACGAGCAGGTCGATAACGATAGGTGCTAAGAAAACCCTGGTCTCTACAAATAAACAAATTAAGTTTTATGAAAGTTGGTATGATTTTTGTTGAAAACGATTTGTAAAGACTGCCACTGAGTGACAGAATTTAACATCAGTGGCGTAGCGTAGTGGGGGCGGCAGGGGCGGCCCGCCCCGGGCGGCACTTCTTAGGGGGCGGCAAAATTTTACAATAAATAATAAAAATATATCAACCATTTAAATAAGAGGGCAGCAAAATTGACCTTCGTCCCGGGCGGCCGACAGCCACGCTACGCCGCTTTTTAACATAGCATATAGGATAAAACAAGTTTCAACGATTTAGATGCACTGATTTTATTTATTTATTGAGGTTTCGCATCATTTACAGGTTGCGTCGCCTGAATAATGATTTTATTTACTTTGTCGAGCTGCCTTCGAAACGTCTATAAATAAATAAAACCAGTGCATCTATAGAGTTGAAACTTGTTTCATTTAATGAGTGATGTGCGTGAAAACCAAAGAAACAAATATAACACATAGGGTTAAAAAGGTGTTAAATGTTTTGTTTTTATGTATTTTATTTCTCTTTTATTCCTCCACTATTCATATACTCATGCTGATGATAAAGTCACCATTTCATATTTATATTTTTCTAGCGACTGTCCGCTACTTCGTGAAAAAAACTAAATTAAAGTTTTTTTTAATCCATCAGGAACATAATACTTTTCTGGGATAAAAAATATCCTACTTATGTCTCAATTCAGATCATAATCTTTATGCTTACCAAATTTCATCCAAATAAGTTCATTGGTTTAGGCGTGAAAGAGTAACAAAGAAACAAACAAACAGCCAAATAAACTCACTTTAGCATTTATAATATTGATTTAGGATATAAAAGAAGTTCAGTAACAAAACATTTTTTAATCTGGAAAGTTTATTTCATATTTTCTTGTTTACTACCATAGTAATCATTTTGTTTGAGGAATTTCACGGGAGCTATCGTACGTTCGCCAGTCATTTCAATCGATGACCCCGCATTAGGCAAAAAAACAGCATTGCGCACTGGGTCTCCACCGGACATAACTTTTTTTACCGGTTCGTCTTTGTTACATCTTTAAAGATGTTTTTACGCTTAGTAATTCTTTTGTTGATTTTTCTATGTCTCGTGTTCACTTGCATATTTTTTACTTTTGCTTTACCAATTTCTATATTTAAACAACAGGTAAATTACATTTTAAGATAAAAATGCAGTATAACAGCTCGAAATATCCTTGATAAATAAATAAATATTGAACTAGTAACTACATATAATAAGTAGCAATCATCTCAATAAATTAATTTGCATTAATTACTTTTATTTTGTTTTTAAAAACCTTTTTTCTTATAAACACGTAAAAGTATCAGACTGAAAATTAATATAAAGTAAAGAAAAGTTTTACTAGAGAAAAATCCACGCGGACCATGCAGCGGACGGGACTCGAACCCGCACCCTTCGCAATCCTGGCGAATGCACTGACCAATTATGCTACCACGGCCGTGATGGCCGCGTCAAAATTTTCCTAGCCTTAAGCTGCAAGGCAGCGCCATCCCTTCGCATTGTAGGTAACCCACAATGTCAAATGAATACTTTTTCAAGTATTAAACATTTGAAAGAAGAAATAGCAATTATAGTTATGTTTTTATTTTTTTTAACATCTAGCAGTTAAATGCTTAAAAAAATAAAAACATGAATATAAAGTATTTAGATTTTTAATGCCTTGAAGTTACATTTAATTAAACTTCTTAGTCAACCCAATCAAATGATGCGGTCACTGTTGTTCATTTTATATTTTGATGATCGGATAATGGAATGGAATCATGATATTTGGCAAGAAGCGTTGTCATGAAGCCCAAATAAATATTTAATTTAAATAAAATCAGAAAAAACTTTAAAACTCTATGCCCGTGAAGAACGAACTATTCAAATGATATAAATTTTAGACCAAGTCCTATTTCAACTTACTTTTAGTAGTTTTGGTTTTTCTATTGAAAATGCTAGTAAAAGCAGTACATTTATAATTCAGCCGTGTAATCTAAATAACGTATATAATTAACATAGAAGTGACGTAGGCAATTCTATATTTTCACAATAAATCATAATGGGTCAAGTTTTATGTAATTAATAATATATTGTAGAAATGTCTTACATAGGGCCATATCAATGCAAATGAACGTATTCAGAAACCAGGGCGTTAGTTTAACAATGTCGTTATTTAAATTATATAGTATTTGTCTTGTTTCCTACTGAAGTGGATGTTAAAAACGTCTATAATACCATGAGGATAATAAAACAGCTAGTTGCCTTGCGGAAAAATAATGAGATACTAAAGGTATTAGTGACCTACACAATGTAAGAAGTTGTATTAAACGATTGAGGACGATTAACAAGGTTGTCTTCCGTATTGCTATATCGTAGTAATACCTCAAGTTAAGTTAGAAGAGCATTCAAAGTGCGGCACTATCTAAAAGGTGAACATAATTGGCATTACCAAAACTACAGAGAACGACACCACATTTTAATGTATCATCGTCAGCCTATAAATTTCCTCACTGCTGGGGCACAGGCCTACACTAGAGAATGTGACATGATATTTAGACGCACGGCAGGTTACCACTCTTTTTTGATTTGTGTTCCTTCCCATCGCACATAGGAGTATTTAACCCAAAAAGTCGATTATAAGTCGAATATTGCAAAGTACCGATATGCAGGTAGTTTCCGCTCCTTGGAAAGCGGAAAGGGTCGTCCGACAATGTACCGTTATCTCTCTTTTGTTCTCACTAACATTCGGTGCACAGTCAGTCGTCTTTGTAACGAAAGTCTGATTGTACGTATTTAATGCGCAGTGAGAGTGAGTCAACTAAGTTGTTAAAAATAAATTTTACATTTAGTTTAATTGGGATAAAGCAAGTTTTAGTTATGGACGTTGTAGAACAAGGTATGTAAAACTAAATTTATGTATTTTTTTTTAAATATATATCAATAATTAATTATTTACGCTATTTTTTGTTGTATACATTAAATTATAAGTAAATTTTAGCATTACCTAATATTTCAAAGACTTTTTGGTATATTTCCGAGCTTTTCCAGGGTCAAATTCTTTTATTATCTTGTAGTTACATATCTATTATAAGAATTTAAAAAGAAATTAGCTGCCAAAATGTGCCAAAATATTACCATTTTGTAAATAGAGTGCATGTGACATTTACCAAAACAAACTTTATTTTGCGGTCACTTATGTTAATTTGAGATTTCTTTTATTGTAGGATCTTCTGGTATTAAGATCGTGACAAGAGAATATGTCTTTCGAAAAGCGAGAGAATATTGTGAACCAGATCTTGGAAAAAACTTAGAATTATTCGAGTTTGAAATAATTAATGACTCTTCATTTCCCATTGATCAAAAAGCAAAGTTTAGACATACATTTTCTTGTCTCAAGTCTGAAATGAAGTCTAAATGGCAGACAGCAAAGCGAACAGAAAGTGTGTTTTTGAAAAAATACCATGATTGGTTACAAGGTACTCTTGAAATACCGAAAAATACAATTCATAGAGAAAAATACCACGTGGGGCGGCCAAGCAAAGAGTTCAAAGAATTAACGGACTGTAGTAAGCGTCGAAAGACATCACATTTAAGAAACATAAATGAAGCAGAATCTTTAATTTATGCAGGTCAAATGGCGCTTCGTGAGAAAGGAAACGTGGATGGTGCTTATGTGATAAAAGATATTATGGCATCCCCAACACGTGGTCATAAATACCGTGAAGCGTTCAAAAAAAGCACTACACCTGAATTAAAAATTAAGCAACTATCACCAACAGAGGCTTTGTCTATGTTTGTGGAAGCTTCATTGACAAGAAAGCAGTACGAAATAATTAGAACAAATGCTAAAAAACTATACCCGTGCTACTCGATTTTACAGAAAGCAAAAAAAGATTGCTATCCAAATGCCGAGTCTTATTTAGTCACTGAAACCTGTGCAGAAATTAAATTACAAGCATTGTTAAATCACACTGTTCAGCGTTTTGTATTATACCTTGAAGAAGTGTTAAAAACTTTAACGGAAGAAGAGTTAGTGAACATAGAGCTGACATATAAATGGGGGTGTGATGGCTCGCAGCAGGCCCAATATAAACAAAAATTTGCTAATAACAGTGACTCTGACGCAAATATTTTCCAGTCATCGCTTGTGCCATTACAGTTGATAAGTAAGAGCAGTAAAAAAATAATTTGGAACAATCCATCACCTTCTTCTCCGCGTTACTGTCGACCAATGCGGATCAGATTTATACACGAGACTAAAGACGTAACAAACGATGAGATAAATTACCACACAGAACAAATTAAACAGTTAACGGGGACAAAGATAACTTTCGGGTCTTACGAAATAACAGTTACCCATAACTTGCTATTTACCATGGTAGATGGCAAAGTATGCAACTCGGCAACAAACACAACCTCTGCAATGAGATGCTACATTTGCAAAGCCACATCTAAGGATTTTAATAAACTTGAAAAGTTTATCGAAAGCGAAACAACAGAACTACAAAATTTGGAGTTTGGCTTATCTGTCCTACATGCTCGCATCAGATTTTTTGAGACATTACTACACATTTCTTACAAACTACCTATAAAGAAATGGCAAGTGAGAACACAGGCCGAAAAAGCTATAATTAGAGTGAGAAAGACAAACATCCAAGAAGCATTCAAAAATGAACTTGGCTTAATAGTTGACGTACCTAAAGCCAATTTCGGAAACACTAATGACGGCAACACCAGTAGAAGATTTTTTAATAATATAGAAATATCAGCCAATATCACTGGTATCGATAAAACTTTAATAGAAAGATTTGCAATCATTTTAGAAGTGATATCAAGTGGATATAAAATAAATATTGAAAAATTTGACAGCTATTGTCAAGACACTGCTAAGATGTACGTAGAATTATACTCTTGGTATCCTATGACAACAACAGTGCATAAAATATTAATTCATGGTCCTTCAGTTATAAGACATGCCATACTACCAATAGGGACCCTATCTGAAGAAGCCGCAGAGGCTCGTAATAAACATTTTAGGAAATTCAGGGAACAATATTCCAGAAAATTTAGCAGAACTGAATGCAACATGGATGTGTTAAATAGATTATTATTAACTTCGGACCCATACTTGACCAGTATTAGACCCAAAGTGTCTAAAAAATCAAAACCTTTTAAACCAGAAAGTAGAGAAATGTTAATGCCCTTTGAAGTTGATAAGGATGAAGATGATTTAGATGAAGAAGAGTAATTATTACTTTAGTAAGGGTTTTAATTAATATTTGTAAATTATTTATAAGAAATATAAATGGTGACAAAACATTGTTTACACTCATTTCAAATTCCTACTTGAAAAACTAGCTTAAATTTTTTTTTTAAATGTTCTTGATTACATGATTATGACAACAAATAAATTTTAGCCAATAAATAATTTTGATCGACTTTTTTGATCAAATACTCCTATGTGCATCGCATCAAACTTTTGTTTTTTGAGTGTTTGTACTAATAGTCGCAGATGACCTTTACAGCGTCTCCGGGTTTGGGGACGGCGAGATCCTAAGGAGACCTCAAACCGAGAATTGGCGAGTGCCTCTAGAGATAATCTGGAGCCTCTAGACCACTCGAACCTGAGGGGGTCAACTCAACTAGAGGGTGCCTCTGAGACTCGGACCTCAGCTCTAGTTAGCCGTTGTTGTGGGGGGCGGGGAAAACCGTCCCGGTATGTACCTGTACCTGATAGAGCGTGTCATGTGTGAACCGAGTCTTCGCACTCTTATCCTACGGGTCCGATGTCTGCCTAATGCTAAGCTAGTGTGCAAGTTTGCTAGATGTGTTCTCTAAGACGGAATCGGAGGGAACGCATCAAATGCTTCTCAAATACTTTTATAATGAGTACAGCGAAGGAGTGGAATTGCCTGTCTGCGTCTGTTTCTGAGTACATATAATCCGACTCTTTTTAAAACCAGAGTGAATAGGCTCCTTCAAGGTAAGTTCGCTACACCGTAGATCCCATCTGTGCTCTCGGGCTTGAAAGTAGATCAATAACTAACTCATTGACAAATATAAAAACAAAAAACCAACCACATGAGTTCAGTGCGGATACCGATTGTACGTTATGCTAACGACGAAAGATGCATTCGGATCCAACGGCTTAGCGTGCCTTCTGAATTATAGACCTGAGTCTATGGTTCTGTATCTTGAGATATAAATATTTTGTTCGTCCATCCTATGAGGAGTCACTGTGAAAGTTAATTAGCTTCAACCATCTCAGACCAGACTCACTAACCACTGTGCCATCGAACTCTATCACCGTCGATTTACACTTGTCTGAAAAAGTTACTTCCACCTTACCATGAGTTGAGAGCATGAGTTTAAAGCTTTTGATTGGGAGTTGGGTCCTTTGATTGATGCCTACCTTGACCCAATCACCAATATCGGTATCCCAAGCGTCTACACAGACTGCTTACTACCAGGCCAGCCATAATAACTTGTCTACCACCCTTTTAACATAAAAAGGATAGTGGCTAGTTGCCAGCCCGTCACTCTCAATGTTTTAAGTAGGTACTCTGTTTCACAGCAGTGATTCATGATAGCTTTTAATCTCTTAATAACTTTCAGAAATTATAATCTTAGCGCATTCTTTTAATTTTCCGCTCTCAATCTAACATAGATATTAGATATTTTTAATAATTACCAGTATGTTTTTGGTACTCATTTGCTATTATTTTGTATAATGTAGTCGCGAAGACGCGATGCGCCAATCGCAGCTCCTGCTGAAAAAATATTGAAAAATGCATTTTTAGTAGTTTGTAATTGTACTTAGTTTGCATAGTTTTTAGGGTTCCGTACTCAAAAGACCACTGCCTCTACTACTCCACTGTCCGCCTGTCCGTCCGTCCGTCTGATTGTCTGTCACCAGACTAACACCCGGTTTCTGAAACGCATGTCATCGAAAAAATTACGTAACAAATTGTTAATCTCTATTTAAATGCACTTTGGGTTTCTCAATGAGCCAAGTGACAGTTTGTCAATGATTTGTTGTTGCAAATGTCTGCATGTTAACGTTTTGTTGTGTTTTAATAAGTAATTGGTGAAAATTGGTCAATTAACAGACTGTCAAAAGAAATTTTACTGATATTTTGGTCAGAGGATTGTTGTAGTGGTAGTAAAAAATGTTGTCAGATTTATCTGTTGACGATATATCCCTATCTAGTGACGAGGAAGATCTGGCACCAACTCGCCAGTTCCGGAAACGAATAAATCCTGTAATTCATTACAATGGTGAAGAATTTAAGGATCGCTATTCAAAATCTGTTTTCCATCACTTAATGGGAAAACTGACACACCTGGAACTTAAAACGAACAATTATTGTACACTAAAGCCTTCCTAGAATTATGGCTAACCCAACATAAAAAGAATATTTCAATTCAGTTCAGCAGTTCCTGATGTTAACGCGTTCAAACAAACAAACAAACATCTTTATATTGTAGTTCATATCAGATTTACACTATAATTATTTTATTTTTTATTTGCTTTAGAAGTAAATTCCAATTCTTTAACTTTTATTTCTAAATTTTTCAATTTTTTTCCAAGTCACGTTTTTTTTACACCGTCACTGCATTGGTAGACTTATTTTCTATTATTGCTTTGTACCTACATTGAAATATATATTATCAATATATTTACAAATTTTAAATGCCAAAAGCAGATCGGTTTCTTTGTATAGATTAGAAAGCTTGATTTGAACAACTGATTTGTACCTATTAGGTACTTACTTATCCACTGTTGTTAAAAGCTCCCTCTTTTCCCGCTCCGTATAGTTTTTTCATGACATATTATGTAAAAACTTTACAAATGAAAATAAATTTCAATGTTTTCGGTACACACAATCGCTTTTAATTTTCAGACTTAAATAAAAGTCACTTATAAGTTGTCAAAAGATAGAGACAAAGCTATGCGTTAGACAGAAACAAAACATGAATGATCGAATGAAAGTGACTGGTTTTAGCTAGGGTGGCCAGACTAATAAATAAATTCTGCCTTAACAGTACATTCGTTAATTTTTCGGTAAATATCTTTTCAGAAACCCACAGTTGCTCAACAAATAGTTAATTATGACAGTCTGTCAACTAATTCAATATTTGACATGCGTTTCAGAAACCGGATGTATACCTCATGAACGATGACAGCTAGACAGTTGAATTTTCACAGATGATGTATTTCTATTGCCGCTATAACAACAAATACTAAAAACACAATAACATAAATATTTAAGGGTTGTTAGAATAGGAGACCCTCCCATTCAACAATCGTGATATTTTTGTAATTTTTTGCTCTATATTAATAATGGCAAGAACCTCGCTAGCTGCCTAGCTATCTGTTTCAGTATGTTGTGACTGAATAATCTTAATTATTCCGTCACAACCCCCCTAGCCCCCCTTTCCGCCATACCGTCCTTCCAATAAATATAAATTAAGATGTCATGAACTATAAACAGAACCTGGCGTCAATAACTAAAATTTCATAGATCTTCTATTTTAGAAAATTTCTTCAACGTCAATCCTCTTTCTCGGTTATTAAATTGTAACAACATTTGGGTACCTACATTACGTATGCTTTCAAATGCCCCACACTCGCATTAATTCGAGTACATTTGGATTCATATATGGACATCACCGGACAAACAGGTCTGACGGCTAATGACTAACACACTCAGTTTGCAGATGTAGACAGTATCTAAATATTAATACGAACTGCCTGCCTAATCGTATTTATCGCAAGTATGAGGTCTTTGGCCCACTTGCACCAAAGTTCGTAAATCAAATTTAATTTTTAGCCAACCATGTGTTAGCTTCATTCTATTTTTATTTTTTTAACAATTGACAAAGATGGCTAATAATTTAATTAGGAATTTTATAACAAGTAGCCCTAGTCCTTCACAGATCAACATGCGGCCTCAAATTAAAATAAAAAGCGTAGGAGCACCCGGGGATGTAAACTCCACATCACAGAAGATTACAGAAGACCAGAGTGAAAAAATACTACCTTTTGGTGGTGTTGTGTTTCTCTCTGTCTATTGACCAGTTCCAGGATCCCACGAGGTAGCGGATGGGATCAGGCTAAACAAAACCGATACTGATATTTTAGCTATCGCAAGCGTCTTTAGCTGATGGTACCCGGATACCTGCAGGAGGAACATATGTTTGGATTAAAAAATATGTTTAAAGGTTAGTAAAAGCTTTAAACATATTTTTTTAGAAGAGTATAAATGTTGGCTGTATAGGTAGGAGACGCTGTACTGGTCAGATACTTTATATCTTTAAAATGACTGAGATCATAAACCTTAACATATGTATTAATTAACATAAAAGAAATACAGAATGCACAGGAAATTCCATTTCATTGAAGTCAGTAGTCCAAATTTATTATTTCCTTTTGAGGACCCAGCGACATTCCTGCATTAAATAACTAGTTACCATACAAACTATTTATTGCATAATAAAACTTAATATTTAATAGGTGCCTATAAACCTCCCCGTGGTTCTCTTATTCTGATGATTCCTTCATCGCCCGCCGCCTTGTTGTTTTAAAGTTGTTTGAGAGCCATACTAATCTCATACAGGCTGACCAGACGTCAGGATATCTTCGGTTAGTGTCGGGTAAGCTCAGCACTGGGATCTTTAACATTGCTTTCAATAGGTGCTCGTGTGGAATAAAGCTGCCGATAGAACCTCTCAATTTCCCTCAGGATTTCAGAATTATTCGAAATGATGCTACCGTCGTCAGTTTTCAGCTTCGTTGGTTGACTTTGCCCAATAGACAGATCATTTGCAAATACTTTAGAGCCCTTGTTACGTACTACAGCTTCTTCAATACGATTAGTATTAAATTGGTGAAGATAGCTCGTCAAAGTCTTAGAAATCTGCCTATTTAGCAAACGATACATTTATCTATTACAGTTATGTCACAACTAGAGGTTTTTTTACAATTACCCCTACGGTTTCACCCGCGTTTTTTTTTATAGATAGGTCCGACAAATGTCTCCACCTTACCTGATGTTAAGTGAAGGTGAAGTCCAGACGCGAAGAAAGCTGATACAGCAGTTCTACCTGCCGCACCAGCCATCCTCACCCTGCTGGCCTGCATGTTGCTTCTTCACGCCTCTTTTAAAGGATCCCAGGTTGTCAGAGGGAGGGAACAGGTGAGCGGGCAGAGCATTCCATTGACGGATATTGCGACAAAGAAATGTCACCAAATTTCTATGTACGCATTGGAATTGCGACCACAGTTAGACGGTGACAACGTAAGCCAGCGCGCGTGGTCCTCTGAAGGAAAAGGAAGGTGGCATAAGAGAGAAAAACTCCTCAGAACACTCGCCGTGGTACAGGCGACAGAACGCGCTTAGTGACGCCACGTCACGGCGTAATTGAATTTGCTTCAGGTATTTAGTCACCTCCTCATCGCCTATGATGCGG